TTACAGCACCTGATATTCCCAAGTGGTCACCCATCTAGCTACTGACCAGGCTTGACATTGTTTAATTTCAGTCATTGTATGGGAACTGGTGTTTCAACAAATCGGTCATTGTGTGTGTGTGTGTTTGTGCACTTATTAATGACGAGAAAAAATCCACTTTCATCCCTTTTTCAATTTACGGCTTAATGGTTAGAATCACCAATTTAGTCGGGTTTCGATCCTAGCTAGAGATTTTTTAGATGTCTAGCCACACTGATGAGCTGTGAAACAGCGAAACAGTCTGTCTGTGGATGACGTTATATTGGCTCCTGAAATATCAATTTCAGTTGAGCTCTCTGTGGACGAGGTGTGGGTTGGTAAACAGTGACTATTATAGCTATATAGCAAGACTCTTCGCAAAAGCGAATTGAGTCACTGTCAGTCACTGGGCATGTTTCTAAAAATAAATACGCTAAAAAATCCACTTTTCATCCCTACTTAATCTTTTCGGATTAATGGTTAGAATCACCAATTTTTCGGGTTTAAATCCTAAATAGAGGCAACCGGATGTATTAATTAATGATGAGCTGTGAAACATTTTAAACAGTCTGTCTGTGGATGATGTATATTATATATATATATATATATATATATATATATATGTCTGCAAATATATAGAAAAATAGGAAAGAACACGTTAGGTAAATAATCCGGAGTTCTTTAGTATTTTTGTCTTTATTTTTAAAAACACAGTGCTCCATACAAAAGTAGACATTGAATTATAATTATTTTTTAAAAAATATGATACCTTCGCTACATAAGAGTTCTTATGTTTCAAAAACAAAAAAAGATTCCTAAATTTTCGCTTGAGGATGAAACAGGGCTTGATACTTTAATTCAATTTAATTTTAGTAATTATATTGAGGTTTTTGGATCTTGTTTTTGAAACATGAGAACTCTTATGTAGCAAAGGAATCATATTTTAAAAAAAATAAATATTTTATATATATATATATATATATAGTTGTGTATTTAGGCAACAGTCCCTCTTGAATACATATTTGTTAAGCAATACTGACAAGGTACTTTTATTAGGGTTTTTATTAAACAATAGCACATACACATTGTTTATTATAGTAGTATAGCTATAATCTTTGAAAATGGCTAATAGATTAAACAAAATCATTTGGAATCAAATATTTGGATAATTTCTATCTCATTAAGTACAAAAAGGAAAATACATGTTCACATACAAGAAAAACATGATTCAAAAAACACCTTGTCAGTAATGTTTAACAAACCATATATTTAAGAAGAATTGCTGTGCATATATATATATATATATATATATATATATATATAAAGTGTATTTAGGCAACAAGATTTCTTTCAAACACCATTTGTTGACTATTGTCAAGTTCCGTATATCCAATGTTTTATTAATTTTGTAAAATTTCCAAATTAGTTGTTTTATAAAAATTCGTAATTTTTTTTACTTTTTTATTGTTCACCCAATAGAAGGCCCAAGAGCCACTCAAGGTAAGAAAGGGCAAGAAGTGAAAGTTTTTGGGCTAGGCAGGAAAGATAACGATTGACCCTAGACAGGAATAGGTCAAGATTTAATTATTAAATTTTTCTTGTATATGAATGAGTGTTTGACAATAGCACATTCACATTGGTTTTTATAGTAGTATAACTAAAATCCTTGAAAATGGGTAATAGATTAAATGAAAGCATTCGGAATCAATAAACATTTGGACAATTACTACACTTTTGTAGTCCAGAAAAGAAAATGATACATCGCATGCAAAAAAAAGTAATAAAAAGGTTAACAATGGTATTTGTTTAACTAAACACACAAACCACTGAATAATAAAATAGTTTGTTGCTACATACCTGTTCTACTAATCAGAGTTATTTGATTTGTTTACTTTTGTGAATGTTAATACACTTTTTGTTTCTTATTAGTTAATATATGTGTTGTGTTTTTTTTTGACAGTAAGGTTCACCCTGTACAAGCCCCAGCAGACACTCAAGGTAGAGGATTATATTAAGAGGCAGTTTATATGGATAGGAGGGGAAGATAACAGTTAACCATAAATTTGAACAGGTTACGGTTGTTGTGATTGGAGAAACATCCTCTCAGGAGTCAGTTTCAAAGAGCAGTGATTTGTGGAAAGAAGCTGTTCAAGTGAAACTTACTTCTTACCGATGGAATACAGAGGGAATATGGGTGGTTTGTTAGAATGTAAGTGACATGGCGGGGCCTAGCTCTGAAGGTTAGAAGTGGTAGAACCGAGAAATGTAGCACTTTCCCTGGAAGTAGCGACAGAGCAGTGAGAAGCTTGTAACGTCGTGCCAGTTAGTGAGAGGTTGGAAAGTGGAAAATAATTTATCACCCATTAGGACTCGTAGACACTTTTGAACTTTGGAGGGTGGAAATTATATATATGCACGTGTGTACATCATAGGCCAAAAGTTTGGGTCACCCCTGGGATTTAATAATTTGTAAGTTTCATGCCTTCTTTGCTTTAATTAACTCTTACTAACCTAGAATACTGAAACAGTTTAATCCATGAATGCATGGCATCTAATTTTCTAGGCCAGGGGTCAGCAACTCATTCGACCCCGCAGACCGGATCAAGTTATAATGATGGGTCGCGGGCTGGACGAAGGCCATTAATGAAAAATTAAGGAAAATTACATATGCCGACCCCTGTCAACCTAAATATTTAAAACCATAATGAAAATAAACATTGAGAAATCAGAAAAACAAAAGAAAATCTAAAATTAAAAAACACCTAACAAAAATTACTTTTCCTCAAGGAACGTCAAAATACTTCAAAATGAAAAAAAATCAACCTAAGTGAAATGGATGAAATTATGACGTGTAGGTTTGAAACTCTTATTGAAAATTGTTCCACAAATGAACCACACACACACACACACATCAAACAAAAATGAAGTACATATACCCATACATACGAGTACAAATAGTTGCAAACATATACACTTACGTATGTACACATGCAGTATCATCCACACATTCATGAGGCATGTATGTATAATGCTCATATGTTTAACTGTCTTTAGATTTCTGCAACCTTGCATGTCAGTCCCTCCCTGGCCTCTTTCACTTCATCATTCCTTTCGCTTCTGTTATCTTTTAATGTAGCCAAGGGTCATAACAAATATGTATCCATTATTTGACATTAAACGTAGGCAACGCAACTTGGTAAAATAAGTCTCGTGAAAGAAGAACTGGCAGATAGTCTAATTCGAAAGCCTTGTCTCTCATGTTAAAAATAGTCATTGGTAATCAGGCTCGTGGGCCGGTCAAAATGCCTCTGCAGGCCGTAAGTTGCTGACCCTTGTTGTAGACAGTGTGTAACCTGAAATTTAAAATCTAACAGTGCTAAAATTACCATTAGCCAGCAAGTTAGATCAGACAAAAAAAAACCTTTTTTCAAGAAACTTAATTATTATTATTGAATTTAGAGTTTAACTGGCAAGATGTAGCCATAAATTCTATGCTAACAGCTTCTCCGCTTGCATTTGTCACTTGTGCAACTCCCTTCTGGCTCCATGCTTTCTAGCCAACTTTAATCTGCAAAGATTTAAATGCAGTGTCAATTGCTATCTACTTGCCCACCTGATTAATCTCCTCTCTTTCTGCGCATCATTGATGTTTCTGTTCCAAATTCTTCCACTCCCTGTAACCCCGTCGTAGTTTTAGTGACATTACTGCCTTGCTTAGGGTGATTCTGATAATAAAAAAATATGATAAAATAAAATCCTTCAGGAAGAGAGAGTCACTCTAGCCACAATCAGGCTAGTAAATTAGTTTTGAGAAAGGTATACAACATTCAATTGTTAAGCATTTCTTCAAAATCAAGAAAGTGTCCTAAACTTTTAGCCTATAGTATACACTCAGGCACAAACACACTCTAGAGTGGTTGCTTAAAAGTTCTTGGACTGACCACCCATTTTCTGATGTTTGGTCAGATTTGATTTTGGGGAAGTGGGTCTGGCCGAGATCTTTTCAACACCCTTTCTTTTAACAGTAACACACATACACAGATAGATAGGCAGATATTCTCATGCTAACACACTCTTCTTGTGGTTTTTTAAATAAAGCATTTCAAATTTTTCTGCCATTGGAATATTAATTGAATATTTCATTCTGAAAAAAAAAGGCATGAACTCTAAACCTCAGGGTACTGGATTCTCAGGTTTCGAAATTCAATGCCCGTTACGTTCATTCATGTCTCACAATTTGACAATAAATAAACATATTCTTTTTTGCACGCACACACATGCAAACATATTACTATGCTTCATGTGCACCCGCCCCACACACCACCACCCACTACGCGCACCTGTGCCTTTTTAGATCCTGGTTTATTGCACACACATCTTTCTTACGTACTATCTTGATTTCACACGCACAGACACATCCAAATTTACCTACACACATGAAGAATGTACCCACCTATAGCATGGTAGCTGCAGCAGCAGCACTCTCTCTCTGCTTCCCCCTTTTCAGTCACCCAACAACAACAAAGACGTGGAGATCGAAACGAAGTCTAAACACTGATGAGACTGCCCTACCAACACTAGGTGACGCACGCTCAACTCGACACAAAAGGGGGAAAAAAAAACAATAAAAAAAAAAAAAAAAACCCAGGGGCATTTATTAAATTTTATTAATACAAGCATACTTTGAAAAAGAAAAAAAAAAAACTGATAATTTTTATTCTACGCCAGGATGTACGTTGAAAGTGTTTTCATATTCGGCCTGATGTTATTTTATAAAGGTAAAGTTCAGTTCATTTTTTTTAAAATCATTTATTGTTATGAAAATAATTAAAAAAAAAATATATATTTATATTAAAATTAAAAACTCCATTATGTTTAGTTTGTACTACGACTACTTCAACTCCTCCGTTAATTTTTTTCCCAACAACCGCAGACCCTCCCCTGTTCTTATTTGTTTTGTTTTTTCTTTTATGACTTCTTCCTATAATCCCTCTGTTAAAGACTGTGGCTAGGCAACTAGTAGAATTTGTTTTATATTCATCTACCTGCATAAAATAATTATATTATTTTTGGCATTTTT